TGCATACTTTAAAATACATCTTATATATTTCCAAAAAAAAAAAAAATACATCTTATATGATAAAATCTTTCTCTGCAATATGATTTATTGTCAATACGGTCACTTGTTGCATTGAAAAAATGGATACTTTTTTTTTCCAGTTAAATGATATTTATTAATAGAGGAATGTTATATTTATAAAAAATTTATTTACAAACTATATTAAGTATGACCGGTCATACTTCAATCAAGAGTTCATGACCGGTCATACTTAGTGTAATTTGTAAAAAAAAATTGTAAACAAATCATTTCTCTTACTAATAATAAAGAGGAAGGTTATATTTACAACCTTTTTTTTTTACAACCTCTTACAACTATATATCATAACCGTTGATTTCTGTCAATCAACGATTGTCATTTATTATGAATTAATAATTAATTAATGAGTTTAATTTGTGAAAATCATAACCGTTGATTGGCGGAAATCAACGGTTATGATATATGGTTATAAGAGGTTGTAAAAAAAAAGTTGTAACTATAACCTCTCTCAATAATAAATACAAAAAGTCCCAATATTTTCATTGCAAATTGAGTTTATTGTCATTCCTCTCCAAACTTGAAAATTGGGGAGTTTAACTTACCCTATAAGTGTTACTCTAATGTAAGTGACTCAGCAAATGATAAATGATATAAAGAAAATACATTTTTCATGTTGCAGTAACTGTGACCTACCAAAAAAAAAAAAAAAGTGGATTTTTATTTACTTTATTATATACATAAGACAATTTCATTTCATACTCAATCACGACATAATATTAGGAGGTGTTTGGTACGCGGTATTTTTCAGAATTTTTGAGAAATTAATTTTTTTAAAATTTTTAATTTTTTAATATTATCTTAAACTGAATGTAAAAAATTATATTTTTAAAAATCAAAATTTCTGGATAAAAAAAAAATTTCTCTTCTGCCAAACGTCCCTCAAGTCATTCTTCGGTTTTATCGAATCAAAAGAAACAGAGTTGGCTCAATCATAATTAAACGTCAATTGCCTGTCTGACAACTTTATCATGACATATTCATCATGTGCAGCACAATGGCTACTGAAACAAAATCCTACGCATGTGATTAGGAAATAGACAATGATTTTCTATACACAGCCAAGTGTATATATATATATATATATATATATATATATATATATATATATATATATATATATATATATATATATGGGCATTTTGGCTATGTTCTCTAAGACGCCACTCCCAACTCTCTGCATATGTTTACCTCAAGAAAGTGACCAGGGAAGACAGATATTGTGGAAGCTACCACTAGCGGCCACAAACACCAACACCAGGGAACAATTAAGGACAAAAGTCACCTGAGCCAGGTTGAGGTCAGAGGTTAATCGAAGCAAATGTGAAGTGAAAATGAAAATGAAAATGAAAGAAACTTGACGAAGAAAAACAACAAAAAGGGGTTCAGATTAACATGATTACTGCAAGAGAGAGTTCAAATTCATGCAATTTAAATTAACTTGAGTCACTCTTGCTCATCAAAGAAGTTCCAGTTTTAAAAACCTTGCTCATAGTCTCGGCCACACACAAGACATGTAGAACCTTAGGAAAAGGTATGCCACCGCCCACCATCACATATAAGTTAGTTAATCGTAATTTACCATGCATGCTTTTATATATATATATATATATATATATATATATATATATATATATATATATATATATGTATGGGTCAAGATCATTTTACAGCAATGTAAGTTACATTTTTAATTTTGTCCGTTGATTCCACTTATATCTAAAACTCTAATTTTTTAGTAATGTGAACAATTGAATACAAGTGGATCAATGGTCAAGATTGAGTATAAGATTTCTAACTCTTACACACACACATACACACACACACACATATATATATATATATATATGTTGTATGAGATAATTTTCTCACATAAATCCCACATATTTTAATGTGTATAAAAGATAAAATTATTTCCTTAGTTACTATCCTCCCATAATTGCATGATGTTCAAAAACAATTTTGTTGTATATAGTTCAAGATGACAGTATGGCAATGGGAAGTGGGAATGCCCTCGAGGGACAATGTTACATAAATTGAAAAGTATAAGTTAGAGGCTTCTAACTTATGTTTAGGTATCCAAAAATAATTAATTTTGTTTGATAATTAAATAAATAATTAATGAATTTGTAATTTAGTATTGATCAGAACCAATTTTATTTCGGTTGATCATGTGATCCTCCTCTAATAGGCATTGCGTACAGAAAAAGATGATTTTCCTTGTGTTTAGCCCACATGTATTTATAGTGACACGGTGCCCAACTTTGGGAGATGTCCCTGAAAGTTGATACAAGTGGTGAGGCAACAAAACTTTTCAATTGGTTCCTATAGATGGTCTAAAATATGGTTTGTAGAGAGATTTGTTAGCTGAGATACAAGGGTTATCTTGCTGAGATGCACAACAACTTTTGTTAACTTTGAGAGATTTGTTTGAGATACATTTTTTCAAGGTGAAGGCTTTAAGTGTGCTTTTCTTCATACTTAATACTTTTCACAAGTGGACTTTTATATTTATTCCAGATCAGAAGTCACTTAGCTCGTCGCTTATGTTGAAAGCATGAGTAGCAAGATTTGTAAGTTGGCGGGATGAATTGTTTGTTTGCCAACCCAAAAGTTCCATTTTGATTTGCTTTTATTTGTACTATGGTTTGTATTGTGCTGATGCTTTCTACTTGTATGCTCTTGTTTCATTTTTCAGGGGATCCTTTTGCGAGGTGACTTGTTGCTTTAGTGTTAAAGTTCTTGAATGTATTTCTTTGATTTAAGGTTCATCCTCAGGGGGGAGTTTAATTCCTCCTACTTGGACAATGATCAGAACCAATTTTACTTGGGTTGATCATGTGATCCTCCTCTAGCAGGTATTACATATAGAAAAAGATGAATTTCCTTGTGTTTAGCTCACATGTATTTATAATTAAGGGATGTCCCTGCAAGTTGATAGAAGTGGTGAGGCGACAAAGCTTTTTAATTGGTTTCTGTAGGTGATCTGAGATAAGGTTTGCAGAGAGATTTCTGGCTGAGATGCAGGGATTATCTTGCTGAGATATATATCAGCCTTTGTTGACTTTGAGAGTTTTGTTTGAGATACCTTTCTTCAAGGTGAAGGTTTCAAATGAGCTTTTCTTCATATTGAAAACTTTTCACAAGTGGGTTTTTTATATTTATTCCAAATTAATATATATATATATATATATATATATATATATATAGGGCTTATCATTTCTGCAACTGTCGTAGATAACACTTTCTACAGCTGACACAGAAAAGTAGGCCCCACAGCATTTAAAAAAAAAAAGCAAGGATCCGGTGCCGTATCCTAGGATCCGCACGCAGATCCTGACTAGCTATAGGTACAACAAATGCAGAAATCATTTTGCCATATATATATATATATATATATATATATATATATATATATATATATATATGGGTAGGGAATTATTCCCCCCTTCTTCTTTTTTTCTCTCTCGGACTATTGACTATATATAATCATACGGGAGATTCAATAGTTATGCATTTAAATAATTTTATGTATGTTTATATTAATTTATAATAAATCCTATTAAAATAAATTTAAAAATATCTTTTCAAATTAAACTAGTTCAAATGTTCACCTAACCGTATATGTTATCACACTCGGCTTTGCAAAAAGAAAATCAGTATAAACTATTTTCTGTTTTGTGGGAGAAACAGGAAATATAAAAAGTCTAATTGTACTTATACCAAATTTATAAGTGTTCAAGAATTATTATTTTTTCATCTCTTTTATTATCCTCCTTCAATTAAATTGAGGTAAGATTCAGTCTTATATAATTTTAGTTTAACAAAACAATTATGTCATTTAAAACTGAATTATTCAACTATTTAAAATTATCACATTATGCAACGGAATTTACTCTATTATTTTTTCAGCTCTTTTATTATTCCCCTTCAATTAAATTGAGGTAAGATTCAGTCTTATATAATTTTAGTTTCTCAAAACAATTGTTATTTAAAACCGAATTATTCAACTATTTAAATTATCACATTATGCAACAGAATTTACTCTTTTATATATATATATATATATATATATATATATATATTAATCAAGAATACATTCTCTTATATAAATCAATTTTTTACTTAAACAATAACACATTATTTTATTTTTTTAAGTTTAATTTTAGATTATTGTTAATTAATTATACATTTTTTTATAAATTTATATAATTTTTAATATATTTTTAAATTCTACCTGAATTAATTATTCATATTTTTCTTATAATTTTTAATATTCGTTCTTAAATATTTATAATTAGATTTTACCTAATTTTAAAAATATCCATATCATACAAAAATATACTTGCTCGTATAAAGTTAACCTCACCTACATGTGCTGAAAAGTGAAAACCTCTAGTCAAGAGTTAATATACCCGATATGACAAGTAAAAGAATTAAGTCGTTGAATTTTATGAAATTATCCTATAGTTTAAGGGAAAATAATTTCTACTTTTACTTTAGATAAATTTTTCTTCAGTGGACGATTTCAACTAAATCTTATTAATAAAACTTAGTTATAAAGGTAAAATAACTTTATATCAGGCCACGTCGATCAATAATGTCTGTGTAGATAGAAAGAATTTTTTTTTATTATTATAACCAAATTTTACTGGCAAAAATTAACTCAAAGTTTAATGGGTTTCTACATTTCAGTAATAAATTAAGGATTTTATTAATCTCATGTTAAAGGAGATAAATTATTTCATGTCATAGAGATAAATTTGTAGACTTCACTACCTAAAAAAATAAAAAGAAAAAAATAGAACAGTTATCGAAAGGTGTGTAGGAGAAAAAGTTATCACATGTAATCTAAGAGTAATTTTTCCCATAAATTAATGGATGTAATTTATGATTTCAGAGTTATATCGAAAATATGGTATGAAGCTATAATAACTCTATTCCTAATGATGGGACAGTAGCAATGACCCGCAGAGCAATTTATGCTTAATTATCAAACGAAAGGTGGTTAAAGTCAAAATAATTCATAATAGGTATCAAAGATGTAAATCATTGTGTGTTCTTTAGGGTACATTAAAACAAATGGAATTCGGAATTCCTCTTTTGATACTAATGTGGCAGCAAAGTGCCAAATTCAAATTCTTCCATTAGCTAGTTGCCATTTTCACTTGGCACTCCCTTAACAGCGTGCTGCAACATTTAACAAAAATGTGAGTTTAATCTTCTAACCTTCAGTCAATACATATGCCAGTTAAAGGAAAAGAACAAAGATTATTTGCATATTGGGCCCATTATATAATAAGAGGTTGATTGGTTTCTACTAATCACCTGAAAGCATGACAAGGCATACTGCAAATCACTTGCTGATATTTGGTGGTGGAGGACAACTCTCAATCTGAAATAAGCACACACTGTCATTAGTTTCTTCCCTATTAACAATATTGTTCATAAAGTGGAATAGTAATCTGATATGAATAAATTACTTCACACATAGAAATAGAGACATTTCTCATAAACAACAAGGGCCAAACAGCAAGCTACAGATAATTTTGGACATCATTACTCTTAAGCAATCGTTACTCCTGTTTTTATACCCTGACTTAGTCAACCAAAAATGTTATACAGAACAATCATTTGCCTTTTTAAAAAATATATATTTTCATGTATATAATACATATCACCATTACAAATTGTAAGTTCATCCGTTAACCTGATAACATAAGAAAAATACAATATACACATTGCAAAAATTGAAAGTACTGTAAGGAGATACTGGTCAACAGAGACAGCAACTAAACATGATTTAAAAGTATGTGTCGTTCATGTGATAATTAAGTGCATTAAACATCAGTGAAATTCACGGTACTGAACCTGGCTTCTTTTTAAAATTAACAATTATTTCAATTATTTATAACAGACTGAATGTTGTTGAGGGCAAACAAGACCTTGATGAGCTCTCTTGCATCAGAAGGATACCACGTTCTTCCAAGTACTTGCATATCATTTCTGCTGTAGTCCTTGAACCCTCTTCAATATTAATATATATCTAGTATCAGAGAAAGAGAAAAAAATTGGTTGTTAGGTTAAAGATATATAAAGAATTGTCATTCATAGCACTTTCAATCTAACAGTCATTAAGGATCTACAAAAGCTCTGCTCTTGGGATAGCCTGAACAAAAAACAATACTTATTGAGCATTTTTAAGTTGTTGGCACTAGGCATTGTAGGCCCAGTATTGGGACAAAAACTAACCAATGACAACAGATTGAAGACAAAATGGAAAACTCGCTCAAAATTGAAGTTATCAGAGCAATAATGGAGTTTCACTAGCATAAACATGTTACATTATACTAAATACTCACTATATTGGTCTCCACAGAACAGGCATCCACTCTCAGTCCTTTAATTTCATTCAATCCATCTGAAATTAAGGAAAAAAAACTATAGGAGAAAAGCAAGTTTAAAAGAAAAAGGTTTGTGAATCTTAAAAAATTATAATTTCTCAAGCAGACTAGGACTGCATGTGGCATGATTTAAAATTGTGTGAATTTACCAGCCATAAGTCTAGCTTTCTTGTGATCACTTTCCAGCTTTCCAACATTTTCCTGTAAGGCAACTAGTGCAGCAGCACAAAGGATGCCAATCTGTCTCATTCCGCCACCTAAGGTTTTCCGGAGTCGTCTAGCCTAGAATAAAACAGATAAACTAGACTTAAATATCAGTCCTTCACGGGAAAAATGAAGCCACTATTGATTTTCCCCCAAAATTTTTGAGCTACCTTGGCAATAAAGTTCTTGGACCCAACAATAACAGATCCAACTGGAGCACCTAGACCTTTAGATAGGCAAACCTAATTCATATTTTTCAAAGGGATAGTAAGTCGGTTAGCTTGATTATTCTTCAATGCAGTATAGAAGTATCAAGTATAAGTTTGATATGAAATAGGTATTAAAATTAGTACTCCAGAACTTTATACATTAAGATAGATAAAATGCCAAGGCAAAGTAGCCATATTGAATCTTAGGCAAAAAAGAAAAGGAAAAAAAAGCGTACTGAAAGTGAATCAGCTGCTTGGACAAGCCTATCCACGGGAACACCAAGTGCCTGAAAAACCCAAATGTTCAGTTAAGCAATTCAATAGCTGTTTGCGTACGTTGGCAGGAAGGAGAAACAAAAAAGGAATAGAACAAGAACCAAAAAACTGAAAGCTAGATATATAATAAAAGATATTTTTCCCATACCTCACACTATGACAATGAAAAAAAGGGGATAAACAAAAGAATCATAATACTCTCTGGAAAGGAGGCAGAGAAGGAGTCGGATTATATTTTAAGTACTCGCATCACTTCATACTACACAAGTACAGGAGTGACATGTAATCAATCATTCAAATGGCAAGTAACTTTCTTCTTTCAACTTTATTTGACTGTAAATTTACATTGTCAGATCCGTACTATATACGCAAGTAATAATCCACACAAATAAACTGCAGCCAAGCACTAGGATAGGATGGCAGAAAGGAAAGTCACTATAGAGGTCTCCGCAGGACAACTAGCCGATTATATGTGGTGCCATCTCAGCTTATATTCTGGTTTTAAAATGGCAGTTCTATGGCATAGGGAATAACAAATGAGCATGTTATTACGGACATTGACAACCAACAGATTTCAATATCCACAATTCTCCAAGTTGATACAAGAAGTTAAAATTGTTTGATCGTTATGAGATTCTAGAAGTAGACAATTTTGAAGTGTTGCAGTTAAAGATGATTCTTTTAAGTTGTGATTAAAAGAAGTTCGTATCTATAAGCAATTCTCTTTTCCTGTGAATAGGCATCTTAGGAATAGCTGCTTAGATATACATATAATGCAAAAATAACAGCCAAAATCAAGATGCAAACAGGAGAAAAATTACTCCGATGACATGAACGAAAACCATGTGACTCCATTGATCATTTCCAGTCGAGGTGTAAATAAACTTAAAAATTTCCCCTGATATTGGCATTGAACATTTTATTGCAGATAGCAAAGCCAGATCAAGACATATGATTCTGTCCATTCTATGTTCATTATTGGAGATCATTTTCTGACAGATATTATTTACACAATGCATCTATTCACCAAATAAAAACAAATCATCAGATGCCCTATAGAGCTTTGTAATAAAGCTTTTAAATAAACCATAAGTAAAACAGAAATTTCCTTACAACTGATGCATTAAAAATACGGGCTCCATCAATGTGAAGCTGCACACCGTGCTTCTTAGCAACCTCTCCAACTCTGTCTGTGTATTCAACTGAAAGGCATCTTCCACCAGAGCTGAATTCAGGAAAAATATCAATTATAATTCTTCTATAAATATGAATCGATTTAAAACGGATTTTTTAAAACCCAAAGAAAATTAGCAAACAGCAAGGGCATGAAGTCATTCTAGTGTCTGTCTGGCAGTGATTGCCAACAACAGTAAACACAACAATAAAGTGATTTCACTGCATTAAGAAACCAGAGCCCCCCTGTCTTGAGCGACACATTTAGGTGCCCAACATATCAAATGTTCTAAGCCAATCACTGAAGGCTTTATAATAGGCAGCATTTCTATCCAATAATCAAAATATACCTCAAGAAAAGGTTGTAAATAGTTGTTAACAAAAAACCAGTCAACAATTGGTATGATAAACTAAGTTATTTTTTTCGCAGGCATCAGAAATTATCAAATTCCCCATGTATAATGTAGAAAACATAAACTACTACGGTATTAAGACTACCATGAGAGTGAATCTAAATGAAATTATTTTAACAAAAAAAATGTCTTACTTTGCATGAGTATTTTCCAAGCAAATAAGCTGTGTGGTTGGATACATTAGGTCATGCTTAGGATCTCTGATAGCAGCCTCAATCAAATCAATATCTATGGTTCCATCACTGTTATTTTTCAGTGGTCTTGGATGAACCCCTCCAATAGTTGAAATGCCTCCATTCTCATAAATATGGATATGGCAATTGTCTCCAAGAATAACTTCACTTCCCCTAATATCACAATGGGCAAGTACACTTATGAGGTTCCCCATAGTGCCTGATGGAACAAAAAGTGCTGCTTCCTTGCCCATTGTCTTCGCCATTTCTGTTTCTAATCGAAAAGCGGTTGGATCATAGCCTAGAACATCATCATCAACTTCAGCACTCGCCATAGCAGCTCGCATTGCTTCAGTTGGCTTTGTGACTGTATCTGACCGAAGATCCACAATTCTAGTTACCATTTTCTCTGCAACTAAAACAAACCAAAAGTAAAAGTCATATGCCATTCTCAGTTTCTCACCATTTCCATTTGGTACTAATTTTTTTTCAAAAGAATCAAATCACCATTTTTATACAAACTGATGCTTACAGTGACATTTCTCTGCCACCATTGTTGGACTCAAATTCAATAATTAAGTGGTACTTGTAAATAATGGAGGAATCAGAAAATAAAATAAAAAATTGAAGAAAAGAAAAAAACCTAAATTTCCTAAGGAACAAATGATCAGTATTTTCGATTAAAATCGTAGCTTTCACAAAATGCAGTAGTCTCCTCCGTAATCCACGATAAATATATTTTTGTTAAAAAAATGGGGGAAAAAATCAGGTAAATTCCCAAGAATTTAGATGCTGAGTTGAACAATTCTAATGAAGAATAAACGAGGGAAAAAGAGAGTCACCAAACCTTTCCCGTAAAATGAGAGAAGGGATGATATTGAAATAGTCTCCATGAAATTCAAGCAAAATAACAATAACAAATAGAAAAATAAAATAAAATGAAATACAGCATTACATAATCAGGGTCTTCTCGGAAGAGAATTTATTGCCTAGTGCCCAACTTTCCTATTTACAGAACCAAAATTCAAAAGATTATCAGAAGCTGTTGTTCCAAATAATAGTAACAATAGATAGGCTAACTACTCTCAAGTTGATTATCATTAATACACATAAAAATTCATAGGAAAAGACACTAGCATACACACAACACCTGCTAAGAACATGAAGCATGCCAGCAGCTAGTAAGGTTTAAACATGGATTTAAAAGAAGGGTGCATATTTTCTTATGTTGTAGGATAGTAGGAGAGAAAAAAAGTAGAGATAAGGTAAATGTGGGTCCCACATTTTAAATTAAAAAAGAAAAGAAAAATTAATTGGCACGGAAAACGAATTTGTGTAGGAAAAAGTTCTTATCTCATGTGGAAGGAGATAATGATTTCCCTTAAAAGAAAGCCAAAACAAGTTGATGTTTTTTTTTTTGGGTTTCATTGTACAAACAGTTAGTGGTTGAGAAAGGAACAGCGTGGTCGTGTCATGATGACTCATAAAATTGAAGAGAGTTAATTTACCAGATTGCTCCAACTAGATTGCAAGTAGCCCAAGTACAATGTGGCGCACACTTCCTTCAAGTTCCTCACTCTATGCTCAATTGCAAGCACAGATTAATGTAATCAAACAGACAAACACTAATGAAGACAGAATCACAAGTTTAGGACCATTATATAGGGAACAAGAAAAAAGGCACTTTGCCACTAATGGTCCCAATTATATGACACCAAAAACAGTTCACCAACAATTCAATGGATTTGCTAGTAAGATTTTCTTTCCATTATTCCGTTCATTTCAAAATACTAGTGAGTTTAAAACTTTTACTTTTTTAAATTAATTAATATAGGTATATTTCTTTAAAATGGAAAATATTTACTAACTTTTTAATTCTCAGTATAAAATTTTAAATGACAATTCGTTTAAAATGAAAATAATAATATTTATTAAAATCTTGTGGTATTTGCACGTGATGTTCTGTTCTTATCGTCCAGCTTCCATCGATATGTACCGCCAATCCTCAATAGTGTTTATCCATTTTGTCTTTTTTCTCTTTTTGTGAACGGTGATCTGAATCATTAAATTAAAAAAGTTATGCATGCTGGCAACGAGTCAGCTGAATAATTCCTATCTTCTCAATCATCTAATAAAATCATTCTTTTTTTTACCAAAAAAATAAAACCATTCTTTGGCAAGTTTGTTATGTGTTGCACTTTCTTTCAATATTTGTTTTATGTTGACATTAAAATTAATTTAAAATGTTTTCTCTTACTAATTTTTCAAATTCGAATTTTAAACTTGATAAGTGCAAAAATAGTTCAGTATTTTTTATGGCAAACAACTGTATTAATATCTCACTATTTTTTGCATGGACAACTGTTAATCCTATTAATAATATCACTACTTCCTACATCGAAAATTGTTAAGCTATTAATAATACCACTGGAAATTATTAAATCTATTAATAATTTTGTTAGAAGTTAAAAAAATAAGTTTTAATACAAAAAATAAGTTCAAAAAATCTCCTTAGTTTGTGTAAAAATAGGATATGTGTTAATGCATCATATGCATATTTTCCATTGGTAATAAGCTTTTGTGCACAAATTTCTTCTGTTTCTGTCTGTTTATATTCTTCATCTTCTCAAGTTGTTCTTCTGCATAATCTTACCTATTATTAATGTGTTTATAGTTTTCTACTTTATGTTTGTTGATATTCCATATTCATTGCTCTGTATTTTATTAGGTGGAATTATTTATATTATTTCTATATTCTATGTTATAAACATAGTATACTGACACATGAGCAATTTTTTTTGAATTAGTTTTGATGCTAAAGTCGGAGATACCTCACTGGACAAAGGAAATATGTGATGTGACTGATGAAGATGTTATGTTAGTGAAGAATCCTTGGAAGTAGAACCATGCTTTGGGAAGTTTGGAAGAAGATTACTTGGGGGCGTTTGATACAAGAGAAATTTTTATTTGTCCGGGAATCTCGATTTTCAAAAATATGATTTTTGCATTCAGTTTATGATAATATCTAAAAATTAAAAATTTAGAAAAATTCAATTTGGTGGGAATCAAAGAATCCCACATACCAAACGCCCTCTAGGAGTAAGGATAGATAACTTGATATTTTTTCTATTTATATTTTTTCGTTTTGTATTCATTTTTTATAGCAAATTATATATCCAAAACTTATATGGTGTTCATTTGATAAAAGAGAACAATTTTAAAAAGAGAAATGAAATTGTGCTTAAAAATAAATACAATTTATTGATACATGGTAAGAAAAAATAATATCATCTATTTTTATTAATTTTATACAAAAATATATGAAATATTTAATTTTTTTACTTAATAGTTTTTATTTTTAATAATTAACCAACATTTTAAGAAATACATTAACATGTATGCATCTTTCAACGAGATCCAAATCAACATAGTTATGGTAAGGTCTTGAATATTCTTGAGTATGCCCACTTAGCCAAATTTCATACTTTTATGGTTCAAATTCCAAAGGTTCATAATGGGAGTGTAAATAGCAATGGCATCTACGTGTTGGAGGAGTAGCTGCGGTCGTAGGAATAGGAAATGACGTTGAGTGTAAACTGCAAATTATAAAGCTTTTTTATGAATATAAATAGTGGTTGACAAAATGTAAAATTAAAGAAACATAAAGTTGTACCAAAAAAATAAAAATAAAAAACCCTGCAGATCTGTGTATTTTTTATTTATTTTTTCATAGACATAACAAAGTCTTCACTTACATGGTATATTTTCTGTTTTGAAATATTTGTTATTTAAAATTTTATGCAATAATTATAAATAAATTCGTATGTGATAAATAACTATATCATGTAGAATCGTTCTTTAAAAAATAAATCCCTCTAGTAATTTACTTTGATATACTAACAATAGAAAGTAAAAGGGAAAAAAGTATTTAATATTACTTTAAACAATTTTGTCCAATGTTCACTAAAACGACGTCGTTTTATGTTGAAAAATTAAAAAATTAGAATGATAAAAATTATTATAATCCTGAAATAAATTAAAATTATAAATATACCATAATTTCCGTCCCAAAACGACGTCGTTTCGGTGAACATTAGACAAAGTTGTATAAAGTAATTTTAGAAAAAACGAACTCAAAGTAAAATAAGTGATTACCAAAAAAAAGAAGTAAAATAAGTGTAAAAGAAACTTAAATATATTTATTTTGATATCAACAAATAAACGATGTTGTTATCAATTCAAAGTTTACTTATAAAATTATGTTATTCTTATTAAAAAATTATTCAAGTAAAAAATAAAACTTCATTAACAATATATTATAAATAAAACCCTTTTTCTTTTTTATAAACTTCGTCACTTAATGAGAGAACTTTGAACCTCAACCTAGATCATATAAAACTCAATAAATAAATAAAGAAAATAAAGAAAAAAACTAAACACTATATAAATTGAAAATATATTGTCATTCTTCTTAATCCTTGAATTAATATGAAAGAAACCCTTAAGCTCAAAGAACGATTTAAAAATGTTTGGTATGATAGCTCAATGGTCAAACATAAGACTTCATAATTATTATTTTTTTGAAAATCAAAAAATTATTTTTAAAATTGAGTGGAGAAACACTATGGCCAAACAGGTCTTTATCAAATTATTTTTCACTATCCTAATTGACTAAACAGTTGTATTCTTCCATTCCCTCATTTTGGAGATTACTTTCTGCATTGTAAATGGTTAAATCTATTAATAATGTTTATTATTATATCTATTAGGATTAATTAATTTTTGGATCTAAAAAAGAACTAAATTGCTGCAACTATACCACTACGTTCTGTATTGAAAATTATTAATCTTATTAATAATATTTGTTATTATGTTTATTATGATTAGTTATTATACCTATTAATAATAGAAAAGTAAAATTATTTTCAATACACCATGTGCCTTTCGTATGTCACTCATATGCCTATATCCTTTAATGTTTGCATGCTCCTTACTTTTCAATATACAATGTATCTCTTCGTAATTCATGTTATTTTGCACATAAATTTTCATTTTTGCATACATTATATAATAAAAAATATTTGAATGAGAAGAGAGACGATGAAAAAAGAATAGAACTATTGGAGCATTGTATTAAATGTGAAAAGATTGGAATTCTTCATCTTCACTAACTGTTATGCAAATAACAAAACCAAAACTTAATTAGAAATATATACAAATACCCTGATGTTATAATATGCTATTATTAATTTTATTTTAAAATATTATATATAATTATTAAAGTGTAAAATATTAAATTAAGTATATAAATTCAAATGTTTGTAAGCTTAATAAGAAATAAATTCTTAATTCCATATTTAATTAGTGCCTTTCGATGATAAGCTCAAATCTTTCTTCATAAATGTTTCATATAATAGTTCAATGGTCAAACATAAGCGGTCATCATAATAATTCTTCTGACAATGGTATGTATATATAAATGTTAAGAGCAGCAATTTATATTTACATATTAAATTTTATAATCGATTATCATTACATGCAAGTTATGTATACTAGCAAATATATCATGTATTAAATGTATATTTTTTATTTTTATTTTAAATACAAAAATATAAGTAAAAAAATATTCAAGAGAAAGTATATTAAAAATTATAAAAAAAGTATGCATAATTTAAATAAAATAAAAAGAAAATTAAAAGAGATGAATATTAGAAATTATAAAAAAAATCTTAATTAATGGAAAATATTTGAATTTAAAATTTAAAAGTTAATAATAATATGTGTCATTCTTTAATGGAGACTAGAATAAAAAATTTTGAAAGTGTAAGCAATTAAAATTTGGGGAGAGAAAAGTATAATTTTTTTAATTGAAAATATAATCGATTCAGATTTCGGGAGAATAAAAAGTTTTAATATAAAAATAGGAATTTAAAATTAATTGATAATTTGAGTATTTTTTATGGAATTTAAAAGTAATTTAAAATTATAGAAATATAAATAGATAGTAATCTATACACAACTATAAGAATCTCTTTTTTGTATGAATAAATATAAAAACTTATTACTTGCTGATATAAAATGCTGACTAGTTAGAGATGACAAAATGGGCTCGACTCGAACGGGTTAGCCAGCCAACACATTTAAATTAAATTAAAATTTCACCATTCATCTTTTATAATTCAATTCTTAAATCTAATTTTAATTTTTAAATACTAATTCATAAAATTCAAATACTAAGGCCACAAATCCTTCCAAAAAAATAATTATTTATTCTTATTAATTACTTAATTAAAAGGAATGACCATTCAATATTTTGTAATATATCACTATTTTAATGCTATTTATAATTAATTATTTTCAACCTAGTGAGTAGTTGACTTTTCATATTCTTCACCA